CTGCTTCCGGCCATCTCATGATTTGTGTTTTGCCGATATGGTCCTAGCTAATAGCTGTGTCCTTACAGTCCTAGCTAATAACTGTGTGTCCTTACGTTCACCATTTCACGAAAGAGAAAAAGTAAAAGAACGAAAATTAAGAAAGCGAAAAGGTGGAAAACGTTGTGTGACAATTTACTCCGTCCTTTCTCCTGCCTTTCCTGTTTTTGATTGTTGCCCTCTTCCGTTCTTGATCTTTAAACCACCAGTTCACACGAGCCTACGTTAACGAAGCTACCTTCCTAGGCTCACGAGCCTGCAACTGCGCCTTTTCAAAGTGCCCTGCTGCGTTTGCTACTGGGACAGGCCTGACTCGCTCGAAATGGTCTTACCGTGAATACCGGTAAGAGCGCTACTTCAGCTCGTGTGAACTGGTGGTTTAAACCACCAGTATACCCGGGCCTGCAGGCCCCATGCTGCACGCCAAGGTTATCCGAACCGCGAGCGACACACTTCTTTTCTTGTTTGGCTGGCACCGCCAGCCATCGTGGTCCGGTAGGCCGAGCCTCCAAAATTGTCGTAGGCTACAAATTTCTTTTTCAGCAAGGCTGAGGCTGTGTACTGGCGGTTTAACCCCCCCCCCCCGCCTCTCCCTCCCCCTTCCTCTCCCCCTCTGCCCATATGTCCAGGTGGTCGGTGGTTTCAGATATATGTCTCATTGAAGTCCTGCTCATAAAGTTTAGATCCTAAACACAAAATCCTAGCACCTGCACGGTAAACCCGAAACACAGACGTTAGACCCTAAACCGTAGTCTCGGTTGTTAGTTATTGATGCCAAATAAACCATAGACCCTGACACATTGGCCATAAACCCTAAAATAGTAGTTAGTTCGTAAGGTGTTAGGCTGGTGATCCTAACTCCTTTAGATCCTGCATCATATACCCTAAACCTTGAACCCCTACTTATTGCTGCTACACCGTAGACTCTGAAACAATGGCCATCAACTCCAAAAAAAAATAAGGATCTAATTAGATCCTTAATCGTGATGGTAGACCCTAAACCCTTAAGACCTACACGTTAAACCCTAAACTCTACACTCTCAAACCTAAACCTTATACCCTAAACCCTAAACCCTGAACGGTAAACCTTAGACCCTATACCCTAGTACTAAACCTTAAAGCACCAGTACATGGGCACCTGGGCCGTGGGCCTGACACCTCAAATTCTGGAGGTGCGAAATGAAAATGCGACCACCGATCGAATTTATCAATGGCGGGCGCAGCATTTGACGTTTAGGCCTCGTTTTYTTKTGGTGACAAGTTTCGGACTGCAAGGCTGGGGCCGTGTACTTGTGGTTTAAGGACCCCAACATACCACATTGTAAATGTGGGCATAAAAAGTTGTCTTGATTGTTGCGTAAATAGGGATGGCTTGGGACAGCTCTTCTGCCGGTCGTTAGGGAACCGGTACACACCACATACTTGTCAGGAAAATAACCATAACCGTAGGGGATGGGTTTGCGAAATGGGGACAGCCTTTCATTTGAGCCGTGCAAGGGAAACTGCAGAGGAGAAACTTAAATCACAAGCACCATGAACTCTCTTGACCACCATATACATGTGGAAACTAGGCTATTGTCTTCCCCCGAATAGATGGCACGGTCATTGTCATTGCATCTGGACTGAAAGTCGCCCCAAATAATGCCCGTGGGTTCTATTTACGGGAAGACGGCAGGCGAGCTGCAGAAACGACAAAGCCATCTTCACACCAGCACAACGCCAAAGTCTCTTTGATGATGAAAAGCCCCCCTCCTTGCCTCCCATTAATCAATACAACAATCAGTTCTTACCCCTTGCTGGTCTCTCTACTGGTAGATATGACCGCCTACCAAGGCTACCATAGTGGCCTGGGACCACTTGACTGGCCGGGCCAAATAAATAAATAAATAAATAAACAAATAAATAAACAAATAAATAACAATAATAATAATAAATAAATAAATAAATAATAATTATAAATAAATAAATAAATAAATAAAGTAAAATAAAAAGTCATCTTTTTTGTTTTTATTCGGTAAAGAATTTCGATGTGACCCTGGGGGTAAAGTTTAGTTTATTTTTCTACATAATCCGGATCTTTTTTTCGGTTTTCTTAACTTTTTTTTTTTTTTTCCCTCCCTGGGACATTCCCTGGTCCTTACAGGGCCCTGCCGCCTGCGCAGCCAAGGTAGCCCAGCCACTTACTCTGTTCAATTTCAATTTTGCAATTCAAATCACCTTCTCTGTCATCTACCCTTAGCCTCCTATACCACTCCGTAGTATAGCAATGCATAGTTCTGTGCTGCTCCCACCGTCGCATCTTGAAGAACATATCACACTCGATATATATGTTCTTGGCGTCCGCCAGGTAAGCCCTCGCCAGCTCCTTGTTCACGGCGTTCCCCTTCCTCCAAAGACCGTCACCTCCTCTACCTTCTCAGTGCCCAACATGGCTATGGCGCCGTGCTTCTGACTAGCTCCCAGTTATGGCGGGTGCTGGCCTTTTCTCACAGCCCAGCCACGGACTGTCGCTGGTCTGCCGTTTAAATTTCCTACGACTAAGGTGACTTTGACCCGCCGCTGCCTTCCTTAAATGCTTACGCTGGTCTTCTGTCCGGCTGGTAGGTACTGCTGTCTGGAGTCTTCCGGACAAGGTGGTAGTCTACCGGGTCCCAGACAGCCTAACCAGGCTCCTGACTGGGCTTTTACTCCTTGAGGCCTGAGGGCAAGGCCTACATGCCGTCTGCTGTCTGCTGGGAGGCCCTCGTCGCTTCACAACTCATTTAAGGCATTTGCTTGTGTAGCTTTTGAGGTGTTGTTTGCACACGAGGTGGCCCTCAACATCAGATCCATGCAGAGTGGAAGCTGTGTCAGGTGACTGTTGACGACGTGCCCCTGTCAGATATTGGCCTTCTTTTTTACTGGAAGAAACTCTGACAGAGGGGTTTTGGGAGTCGTGGGTGTTGACTCCCCATTAGTTTGTGATGTGATGTTTCTATGAGATGTTGAGAGTTTCCGTCTTGTTTACGTTTTGTTGATCATCAACCTACCTGTGTTTTAGCTACCCTGGACGCCGAAGTGGGTGTCGTGGATGTTGACTCCCCATTAGTCATGACTGTGCGAAAGTACTGTGGGGTTTCGAGGGGTACAGTACTTTCGGGTGCATCCGGCGTCCACGTGGTTTTGGGTCACACAAAGGCTTGTGCCACGGCAAGCGTGGTCCATAGGAGATTTGATACTTAGGAATGCCATGCAATCGGTACCAGCGAGGTGGCTGTATGATTGCATACATTTGACCCCTTGCAGCAATGTTGGGCGTTCAGGTGGGACTTCAACCGGGCACCTGTGTGTCCCATCTGAGAATGGAACATGGAATCTACCGCTTGTCAGGCAAAGACCAGTATTGGGCTAAGTGGGCTGGGGTGAAAGTGAAGCCCCAAGATGAGTACTTCACCCCACCCCAGCATGGGTTGCTCTGCGACACGGTGTACCCAACCACACTGATCCCGCACGTCTCACAGCCACACATCCGTAGTGCAATTTCTACGGCAGTTACTGTGTGAAAGCAATGCGTGTCCAATCCAAGAATCGAACACACAACCTAGGGCTTGTCAGGCAAACACCTAACCAAGTTTTTTTTTTTTTTTTTTTTGTTGTTTTCATTGTTTTTCTGTGTTGTTGCTGAGGTCGGATTCGAACAATGAATGTAGGATAAGATAAGGTTCTCTATGAGCTTGGACTTGGACCTCTTTAGACTCAGAGGACAGGAATCTTCTAGGCTAGAACCCGGTAGGTGCAGGGATGCGGCAGTTCGCCAAAGTAGCGGTTTGGTGGCAGTTGTGACCAAGTTTTTCATTTGTGTAGCTTGTGGTGCCAGGAGAGTGCGGTGCGGGCGCAGTCATAGCCATTGCTTTCTGGGTGCACACATCATCGTTGAGAGTTCTTGTTTGTTGCATGATGCTCAGGGCGGCAAGGTGCCGACCCGGACATATTTGTTTCTCGGTTTCATCAACCGTTCTGGTGTGAATGATCAATTTCAGATTTGTGTGAAGCTTCCAATCAAGCCTCATTTGCTTTCAATCAAGTCTGTATGAGTGATGAATGCTGGAGTTGGGTTGGAGTTTGGTAAATTCGAGGTACTAAAATAAATACATATAATCATTATTATAATGGTTTCAGTGTGCCCTTCATGCTGGTCTTGTCTTTTTAATTTTACCGTTTGTTTCGCAGAGTGTTCACTTTTAGTTCGTAGATATGTGACATATTGTCACATTCAACCTCGTGATGAGTCGGTGAAACTCTGACGAAACAGATTGTCACAGCCCCTCGTTTGTTGTCCTCTTCTCCCTCTCTGCCTACGGTTTACTGGGCAGGTCTGTTTGACGATATACATATGTCACAGCCCCTCGTTTGTTGTCCTCTTCTCTCTCTCTCTCTGCCTACGGTTTACCGGGCAGTTCTGTTTGTGATGATATATCTGTTTGTGACGATATATATATCTTAAATACATAAATAAATGAATACATGAGCAAACAAATGCAATCTACCCTGTACCCAGGTGGTAAAGATCTTGATGTCAGGTCACCGGTCTCCTTTGAAAGGGGTGGATAGGCTTCTGGGTGATACGTGTGTGGACTATGTGCTGGCAGGTTGTCCATTAGTGTCCAGGATTTGGAAGCTATCTTGTGAACGCGGTATTTGAATGTTGACATGTGGCCTGTCGTCGATTGAATACCATCCTCTGCTTCATTGCCGTTCGACCCCCCTTCCCC